GGGATGCTCCTTTCAGCACCACCTCCTGCCTCCTCCCCCTAGAGGGCCACCATCTCTGAAACTCTGGCTTAATCCTTACCTACTTTAAAAAAACAGTTTTAGCACAAATATATGTGTCTATCTCAGAAATGATACATTGCTTAGCTTTGCCTGGTTTGGAGGTTAAATTAAAAAGTCTACCATGCCAAATGTTTTGCTACATGCTTATTTTCATTCAGTATTTTGTTTCTAAGATTCATCCATGTTCTATAGTACATAGGTACAGCCATCTTCACTTCTGTATAATATTCTGTTTTTCTGTATAATGGCTTCTGGGCTGTCTCAAAGCTACTCTGGGCTTCCCTGAGTACAGTTCCTGGTGCCCAGGTGCATGTGAGTTTCTCTAATGAACAGTGGAGTGCTACCCCTAGACTACGCAGGTGTTTGCTTTCCTGAATACACAATGCCTGATTGTTCTCCAAAGCTGCTGAGCCAATTTACTTTGCCAACAATGATGTGTAAGGATTTCCATTATCTGTATCCTCACCAACTGTTAAATTGATCACTGTAAAGTTATGTTTGTAAGGAAGTTGAACATCTGTTCACATTTCCATTGACCACTGGAGTTCTTTACTCTATGACATTCTTGCTTGTATTTTTGCCCATTTTTTTTTGAGATTGTCATTTTTAGAAATTGATTTTCAGAGTCCTTTATGTATTCCAGGTGTAAATCCCTTGTTGGTTATTGGTGATGCAAGTGTCTTTTCCCAATATATGTCTTATAATTTCACCCTTTTAATGCTATTATTTAAGAGCAGAAGTTCTTAACTGTAATATAGTCAAGTTTAACTATAATTTCTTTTGTGGGTAATGCTTTTAGTTCTTAAGATATTATTTCATTCCCAGAATCATAAAAGCATTCTCTTATCTTTTTGGAGTTTTAAAATCATGCCTTCCACATTTAATCTATTAGAAATTGATGTTATGAGGTGGTGATACAAATTTTTATTTTTTTCCCTACTCAGAACAAAGTTTCCCAAACCATTCCTTGAATGGCCTCCTTCTTTTCCAGGTGACATGCAAGGTGCCTTTTTACTTCAACAGGAAAAGAAGTCATTGTTTAGTTTAAAATAATGGAAGATAATTGTATGAATGATTGTGCGTTCACACTTGCACATGTGTGTATAAATAAAGGTCATTTTCTTCTGAGTAAAGGGGATTTCCTTGATCCCCAAAGTCACATCACTTCAGCAGCTTCCTGTTAGATCTGCTCTGCGTCAAGCCCTACTGGGGTTTTCATTTATCATTGCAAAGTGGCCATAGTCTGCTGCAATTAATCCCCTTGCCAACAAGTGCATTTTAATAATGCCTTTTAAAAGTCATAAAATGTTACTTTTAACATTGGGGTGGTGGCTACAAAGTTGATTCTGTTTATTTTTTGCTTGCATTTTCTGCATACATTCTTGATCTCAGGCAAACCAGCAGACGGGTTCTGGGCCCCTGGCAGATTGGAATTCATGTTTGACCGCTGTGATGTGGTTCCTGTCTCCCAGGGGCTCCCCATGACCCCTGCTGCCTGTCCCTGACTCTTCTTCCCAAGTGGCCACAGCAGCTGCTTTTCCCTTCCTCCTCCTCAGGTTTGCCGGGGAAGGAGGCTTTGCTGCTCTTCCACTCACCGCTGCCAACCCACTCTTCAATTCACTCCACTGGGCCACGAACGTTTAGAGAGCATCTGTTGAGTGCTGTGCCCTGCTGGTGTCTTAAGACAAAACGCCTGTTCTTGCCTCAAGTCTAAATACGTTATTCTCTTTTCTCTACTCTCCCCCTTTCTAGTTCCTTTTCCCCTTCTCAGATTATTTACATTTGTATCTTTAAGTGGTACAAGTTTGAATACCTTGAGTTCTTCTAAGGGGACTGAAATTTAATAAATAAAAATACTAATGTCTAGTAAAAAGTTTTTGCCTAATCATTTGGTGTGAAAATGAATAAGATAGAATACTCATTAATATTCAAAAGGCCAGTTATTTTCTTTCAAACATTGAAAATTTTCATGTTTAGTGAATGCCAGTGTGTAAAGTAATTAACACAGATTGTAATGATTATCTTCACACCACATCAAAATAAATGTATCATAAGGGAACAGAGAATAAATTTTTAATGTGATTAATTTGTAATGCTATGTATTCCAAATGTTATATAAAAGCCTGTTTTATAGAGAAAAAAAATACTTATAAAAGTGGTAGGTAGAAATAATAAAGTAAAATGTCACAGCCATGCAGACGACCAACAAATGCTCTATCAGAGCCTGTGTTCTCAGGACAAGTAAGAGCAACTGACAGGCCTGGAAGGCAGACTCCCCTCTCCTCCATCCCCCAGTGTTTACCAAAGTTCACCCTGCAAGGAAGCATCATCTAGGAGGTTTGGACCGTCTTTGCACTTTTTCAGTTACCAAGTCCTTACACGATAAATAACGATTGAACTTATGTTTATGCAAAGCTTCATCTTCCCGCCATGGTGCCAGCTATTGGCCTTGAATTTGCCTGAGGTCTGACCGCCTCAATGCTTCTGTTGTACTCAGTATAGTGTGTGTCCTCCAACTCAGCCTGTTCTTCGCCATCGTCCAACTTTTTGGATCTATTTGGTATTTGACTGCTGGATGGATAAACTCTGGGCTTTTTGTTCCCTTTTTAGGTGCATCCAGCCCCCAGACTGGTGCTATGGTGTGGATACGGTTGCTTTGTCCCTGCCACACCCCTGATGAAATTTGGTCCCCCTGGTGGAGGTGCTGGGAGGTGGGGCCTAGTGGGGAGTGTTGGAATCATTGATACAGATCCATCATGAATGGCCCAGCACTGTTCTCACAGAAGTGAGGGCTCACTTTGGTGAGACTGAGTTGGTTCCCCATGGAATGGAACAGTCGCATGCGAGTGGCTTTTTACAGAGCCAGGAGGCCCTTGGGTCCTCTCTTTGCTCTTGTCCATTTCTCCGTTGACCTTCTCCACCGTGTTTTGACGCAGCACCACAAAAGCCCTAGCCTTGCCAGAAGCAAGGGCCATGCCCTTGAGCCTCCCAGCCTGCAGAACTGTGACCTAAATAAATCTATTTTTTTTTAAATTAAATACCCAGTCCCAGGCATTCTGTTATGGCCACACTGTACAGACTAAGACACTGGGATCAGGGTAAGTGAATCTGGTAGAGAGAAGAAATCACATTCTTCATCGGCGGTTTACAGGTGGAGAAATAAAGCACATACCAACTAACTGCCGCCCACGGTGAGTGCAGGATACATGCTTGTGGTCAGGCAGAATGATGCCCCAGCAAAGATGTCCACAACCGAAACTCTGGAACCTATGACTATGCTACCTCACATGGCAAAAAAGACATTGCAGACGTGATGATTAACTTAGGGATCTAAAGGCGGGAGGCTACCCTGGACGAGCTTGGTGAGCCCCAGGTAGAGACAAAGGTAGAGACAGAAGACGGAGGAAGAGGAAGGCTTGTCTGCAGAAGAGGAGGTCAGGGTAATGCTGAGTAAGAGGAACTCAATCTGCTGTGGCTGGCTTGGAAGATGGAGCAGGGCCACAAGCCCAGGAATGCAGACGGCCTCAAGAAGCTGGAAAAGTGGAGACGGACTCTCCCCTGAAGCCTCCAAAAGAAACCACCCCTGCCGATACCTTGAGTTTAGCCCAGCGAGGCCTGTGTCGAACTTCTAACTTAAAGAACTGTAAAATAATTAATTTATGTTGTTTTAGGTTACAACAATTTGGGTTGTGACATCAGCCACAGGAAAATAAGACAATGGCCCAGAGGGTAAGGGTGAAAAAGTCTAAAGAATGGAAAAGTACCCAAGAATATGAGAATGAAGGTAGTTGGTTTACTGCCTACGTGTGATCTGGAAGTTAAAGTATGTTCACCTTGAATTCCTTAAATCAAAAGTTTCTTAATAGTTCAAAATCTAATCACAAAGTTAGCATGTAGCTCTGTAAAAGGACTAAGTCATGTGAACTGCTGACAAGTTAATTGTCCTCTGGGATTTTACTGTCATCCTTTCATGAGTTTGATTTGTTGCTTCAGAGAAATAGAATTGCTGATTTAAGTCTGCTCACAGGCATTGCTGTAGACAAGCATCTTCCCTTACTTCAATTCACAGGGATTTATTGGGCCATCTTCACAGTAAATAACTCTCAAACCTTGTCAGAGTCCACAGCAGGGCTAAGGCATGGGAAATCTGATTACCTGTATTGCCAACTGCCTAAAAAATAGGCTGAGCCCATGGCAGTTCTGATGTGTATGAGTGTACTTCCAGAGTTAGGGATCAGTGTGGTTTCACTATTTTTCATTTGACCTTCAGAGATGAACACTGGACTCAATTATCCAACCCTCCCCTGACATTTCCTCTGGAACTTGGAACTCTGCTAACTCAATCCATCATATTTCCCCTAGGTCCACATAAAACGTAGTATTAATCATAAACTAATTCTAAAACTAAGACGCCTATTCCAAAGAACATCAAGAACTACGTCTTACTGTGTGCCCAGGGACGTGCTTACCCGTCCTGTAGACCAGCCCTTGCAGATGCATCAGGACTTAATGGGTACAGGATGTGGGAAGCAGGAAATTGTACAATCAGATTTCACAACAATATGCGTAGTGTTATTCTACCTTCTACCATATTCAAGTTTTGAAATTTAACATTCAAATTTCTTCAGTTGTCCTAAGGTTTTGACAATTTCTTCAATTGTCAAAAAATAGGTACAGGATGTGGGGAGCAGGAAATTGTACAATCAGTTCAATTTTTGTATGGGAAGGGTGTGTGATTTTTAAAATGCGGCTGAATGTGAAGGAAAGAAGAAAGGCAACCTATGCACAAATACAGATTTTTGTGTGCCGTTTTCACACAACCACAGCTTTCTAACACTTACTTTGTGGTGCTCTCTGTGGCTCTACATACACTTCCTCATCTTATAAATTCATGAGTACATGACTCACATACTCTGTAGAATTATGTGGTCTTTGGCGGCAGACACTGAGACAAGGTAGATGGAATTCAGTGGCATCCATAATAAGGTTTGCATGGGAAACTATATTCAAGCTTGGATGAAGATGGGTGGAGGCTACTGTGGGGATGGAATCACTTAGTTGGTCCAGTTCCTTTGGGACAGGGTCAAAAGGGTAAGGCGGAGTTGGGGCTGGGACTTTTCAATACTGAGAGAGCTCCTAGGGAGCTGGTTTTCACAGAAAAGACCACAACCAATGGTGTCCTTTATCCCACAAAGTGTCAAAGGTTCTTTTCTATCACAAGGTCTTAGTGCTCAAAGAAGAAGAATAGATCATCATGGATTGGACAATTAAAACTCTGTGGGAGAATTCAGCTTCCCTGGGGGTTTCCAAGACATGAACTCTTTCATCACTGCTTTGTATTTTACAAGTAACAGGTCACTGGACAAGGTGTGCCCCTGGAAGAACTTCTGTCTCCTGGCCTGGAAAACAGGTTTCCAGTCCTTGCCTCCTCCTGGTGTTGCTGTGAGGATTGGAGAGAGGTTATTTACCTGAAATGCCTACCCCAATGCTTCACATGTCCTTGCTACTCAGTAAATCCTATTTTTCCCCATCAACTCCTTTTCTGGACGAGGGACAGAATTTCTGAAAAAGCAGATACTTTAACATCTGCATGCTCAACAGTTTTATCTGGCTGGTAAAATAAAACTTAGATTCTAACTCAAAAGAGGGCTTCATTAGCATCATAGATATCCTCAGAAAGACAATTAGACTTAATTAAACAAGTCAGTGCTAAGAAAATACTATTACTGTTGTCATTATTGTTATGCTTTTATGTATTAAACCAGATTCTTAACCACTTGGCATTATCAAAATTTAACAGCCTCTAAATCCATTGCCCTATGAAAAATCATAGCCTTTTATCAAATTTCCGCATCTTGTAAAATAGTCTTCGTTCTAAGTCAAAGTAATTCAGATATCTTCCAAAAACAGTTCTCTTTTATTAAGGGGATAAAAGATAATTAAGGCTGAAGTGAGACTTCTGGTCAGTGGGTTCCCAAATGCAGCTGCATGTTAGCATTGCCTGAGAACTTTCAGAAATGGATTCTTAATTGTCTTTTCATACACCCCAACCCAGATTCTGTATTTCAACAAGGTGATTTCGATGTGCAAACAGGTTCGAATGCCTGTGATAGAGTGCAGAACAAGTATCTTTAAAATAATGTGTTTCTCATTAAAATGTTTTTAATAACCACTTTCATAATTCATTTGAAACTGCTTTAGTAACTCTTAAATTAGTGGTCACCATATTCTTCATTAATGTCATTCAACAATATTCACCATGAGTTGCGACTTCCTAAAATACTGACCTGAAAGATGTATTACAGAATAACGTTTTAGCTATGTAATCAATTTATTGAGAGTCTACTGCATGAAGGAAAGAGGTTATTTAAGACCTAATCTCAGTGTTTAACAGAGTGCATGTCTGGTGGGAGTGACTTCACACATAGAGAAACAGCCCCTGATACATTCTAAATTGGGCAGTGTGCCCTGCGATCGTCTCAGGAGTTCCAAGGAGGGGTGACTCCAGGTGGAGGGAGGCCTGCATTGCACAGGGTTGGCCGTGCTCTTAAACCCAGTAAGTGCTACATGAAAAGAGTAATTAGCAAACTCAAGTTCAGTTTGTGAGCACATCAACATTATTTTCCAAAACATCACTAACTCATTTTGAAGATAAAGTAAACATTAACATGGGTTAGTATCAAAATAATTTGAATTTATATGTGAAGGATAAAGAAGCATTTCTCCTTCACAGAAGGAGCAGACTGATTTTCTACATGACCGTTTATGGGAAAACTGGGAGGGCACCTTCCTGCAGCTTTTGTAAAATAAAGATGGGCATGGGCTGTTTGCATTAATGAGGCTGATGAATCTCACCAAATGACACTTCAGCTTATTGTTCCCTGATTTCCATGATGTCCTACGGATCTGATAACAGAGTTTTTGTTATCAGAAAAAAAAAAAGATGGAGGAACTTCTCTATTCCTGAAATAAGAATATTAAAGCAACTCTACATGGATGAACCTCTGAGTCATAAAAACTTGATTAGAAAGCTGGACATTTATAGTTATCTTTCCTTTTTATTTTTTGATATTTACTAATGATTATCTTATGAAAGATAGGTTACTAATTTCAAATCTTCACATATACAATAACAGCAACTCTATTAGTAATTATTCTGTAGTTTAAATTAGTGTTTATTAACATTTCCTTGCTTCATTCTAGAATGTATAAGTGAATAATTAAATATATTCTTTGGCAGCAAATTATTCTCAGTGGATATTTTCAAATTCAATTTAGTGAATAAGACCTCACAGACGATGATGTAAAAATTACAAACATGAAGAAAATGTTAGCTCTCTCTTAAAGAAACGAGATAAAACTTAATAAATTTCCCATGTAGAAATAATACAAAGTGCCATGATCATTAAGTTATTAATAAATAGCCATTAAAATAACCCAAGTAAAAACAAGAGAATTTCTACAGACAAAAGTCGCACAAATTTCTGAGCGTTGATGAATAGTGAATGCTTTGCAAGAAATGAAAAGATAATGTTTTCCAGCCTGAAGAACTAGGATTGGATACTAATAACAATGGTGTTCCAACCCGTCCAGCTGCTCTGGCCTGGTGAGCATGTAGAAAATGCACCCTAATTACTGAAAGCATGAATAAACGATGTAAGAGACAAGCATAGCTGTCTGTAACAGTATTAGGAGATATACAGAACTAGAGTTTTACAGAATGCTTCTTTGCAGGAGCAACCACCCAGAAAAGTTAGTTATCTAACTACTTTAACCATAACTTATTTTCTTATTCAGTAATTTATCCATTCAATAAAACTTACTGAACTTATCCTGTGGGCCAAGCAATCTGCAGGTATCCTATCTGGAGAGAAGGTTTATTATAATCAGAAGACTGGCTAACAGTGTGCCATCCACTCCACTGCAAACTCAGGATGAAACATTAGTGATCAGGACTAAAATAATCTGAGAATCAATTTTCTGATCTGAAACCATAGGAATAAATATTTTAAAAGCTCTTCCAACACCTCTTGACCCAGAATTTCTGTAACTTGTTTGCTATATTTAGCATAACCTAGCATAAATTAGAGATCACCTTCATGTTCCTCAGTGAAAGTGTGATTTATAGACATTCATTTAAATCTGTATTTATTTATATTATGCAATCTGTGTTTACTAAGATGCAAAGCCAATCCTGCTATAATTAACTGAAAACGTGGGTTATGACTATATGGTAGCCACATGCATGTTTCATGTTTTGGTAGCCACGTGCAACATATATAGCATATACCTACATATATTATGTACCGAATAAAATGTTACCTTTGTGTGCTGAGGTTTCAGGCAAAAGTTATTACAAGTGTGATTTTAATATTTTTCTAAGTTTTTTCTGACAGTCTTTGAATGATTACCTGTTACTTTATAATCAGAAAATGAGATATTTGTTGTATTTTGAAGAGAAAAAAGAATTACACTACCTAATTTAATTATATTTTGAGTACATAATGAGATTTATGCTTCATTTGGGTGACCGATCAAGTATTACGTCCCCTTTCAAGACTACTTCTTTCCTAAGCAGGTGTACTCTTCCCTCAGCTTCTGTTAGCTTTCAGGAGATATTTCATCTAAGAATCCTGTCCTCGTCACTGAAGAAGGGATTCAGAACTATTGCTAATTCTACAGGAAATAAGTCAGTTTATCCAAATGAAAGCAGGATGGATATTTAAAAGTTCTGTTTTTTATTCCATAATCCATCATTTCGACTGTTACTTTGTATGCAGCCGTCTTTGCAGGTCTGAATGAGGGAGAAAGCCTAAGGCAGATGCTTTAGGTATTCAGTGGAGACAAGCAGGACACAGGGCAGGCCAGTGAGGGCACCATCCCTGGGAGGGGTAGGTATTCAGTGGAGACAAGCAGGACACAGGGCAGGCCAGTGAGGGCACCATCCCCGGGAGGGGAGGTGGGAAGAGGGAGGGAGAGAGGAAAAGGCAGTGCTGGGACAGCTCCTGGTGGCGGCCACAAGGCTCCTCTTCTGGCTAAGGGAGGGGCAGAGCATGCTGGGGGGTGTGAGGGGCTGGAGGGGAAGGTGCAGGAGTGACCCTGACACAGATGCTGAGACTGTAGGGTCTGGAGTTCAGGGCGGAGGCAGTGCTGAGTACCATGCCACAGACAAATGCTGGCTGATCACGACAGGTAGAAGTTAATGATTCTTTTAAATTTAAATTTGAAGTACATTATTTGTTCAACAGATTCTGTTCCATAATAAGCCTCCAGTAAATAAAAATGTAGTCAGATTTGTACAACCATATCAGAATTTCACAAGGAATTCGCCACAGATGACCAAACTTAGCAAGTATTTTAATATGGGAGCACCTTTGATCAATTCATCAAGCATAATTTTAACTCACATTTAGCCTTGAAACCGGTTGTGAAGCTTATACCTGAATAAATTTGTTCATTCCTGGGGGCCTGAGTGTACAAAGGAAAAGTTTATATTATTTTACAGATTTTTATTCCTGGCCACTAGTAATTTTGATCAAGATATGTCAGGTTGATTAAGATAAGCATTATATAAGAAAATAGCAAATACTAACTGCACAGATTGTTGCCTGGAATATGTTAATCCAGCAACATCCAGAAGGATGGTTTTCCCACACCAGGATGAACTCCCATGGGAGTGAACACCGTGCGGCCACTGGAGTTTGCCTTTGCTTTCAGCCGATGAAAATGTTAACGCTCAGTTCTTTCATTACTTGCCAAAGACATGCTTTATCTTACTTTTCTCCATTAGGTTCTCAGTCACTTTTTTTGCATATATGGAAAAAAATGTATGGTTTACTCATGGTCATTATAATATTGACAATTCGACACTGGTAATTTAAACTGGTAATCAAATTGTGTGTGTTTGCACCAGAGAAAGAGACGGGCTGGCGTGGAGAGGGAAGGAGAGGAAGAGAAAGACAAAGGCCGCATTTGGGGAACTGTCAATTTTCAAACTGTATAATCTGCTGGCAAGAGGAAGGCACGCTCTGATGATGTGCAAACTAATTTCCAGGGTCGCTATGTCAGTACATTTATTACCACATCACTAAACTGTAATTCTTGCATATTTCCATAAATATTCAGAGATTTTCTAACTTCTAGTAAATACTTTGTGGACAAGCATGTCTTTAATGGGAAGAAGTAAGGCTGGCATCATATTCATCCAATGTTGGAAGCACAATATTTATTTTCATAATTATATTTCTAGGATTTTTTTCCAGTTAGATGCTCCACAAGGTTGAGGAGAGAGGAGGGAGAAGGGAAATACACTTTTGAAAAGATGTCTGACTACTCCATGGACTATGCCCTAAAAACAGGCGTGCTCTGTTTGAACACTTGTCTGGGGGAGGAAGCCTCCTTTTACATTGTTCCTGTTAATTGAAAGAAGTTTGGATAAAAATAAAATTGTAATAAGCCAATAAGCAGCTTCCATAGCATTTTGTCATTAAAAGTGATAACAAATTCTGTGTGTGGCG